AAAATATAGCAAAACACAAAACAAAAGTAAACAAATACCTTTCCCTTCAGCTAAAAATTCATATATTTTCTGTGGAATTCCAAAGCAAAAGCAAAAATAGATAATAGAAAAACAAATTAAAATCGTTCCTTTCGATCGGAGTAATGTTTTCGGACACAAATTTTTCAAAGCCTCAGTTGAAAAGTCCTTTTGTATTAAGTGGTCTTGTTATTATTAGTTATTATTAAATTATCTTTTATATATAACATTTTATCAAAAATATTTATTAATTTATTTTTATTTTTATATTAAAATATTAATAAATATTTTTAATAATATAGCAACAAATTAAATATACAGAATAAAGGAATAATTGTACAGTATAAAAACAAATAAAAACAAAATACAATATATTTATACATATATACATACATCTATAGTCATCCTGTTCTCGATTCACTTAACTGTAGAACGCATATACTAGACGGTGCGCAAGTGTATAAAAACACCATCAACAATCAAAAAAGGGTTAATGTAGCAATACCGTATATTTTTGTATGTACGTATATACACAGGGCAGAAAAAGTCTGAGGTCACCTACAAAATTTTTCTTAAATTTCGCATAACTTTTTTAATTTTTACTCAAATTAATTTTTCCCTTCTGATTTATTTTAAACAAAGAAACAACAATAAAGTTAAAACATAAAAAATCAACAACTTTTATTTAAAAAAAAATTAAACACAATTATATGCAAAGTAACTTCTTAACATTTACGTTTACCCTTAATTTAATTCCCTTGCACGCATAAACGTGTCATTAAATGATATTTTATTATTAGTTGACTTCCTAAAGAGTCTAAGAATTAATCATTTAAAAATATTTTATTTAAATAAACAATAAATTTTTACAATAGAAAATAAAAGACGTGAAATTAGTGTTAGTGAGACAAATAATTGTTAATTGAAAAGTTGACGTAAGCCAACGAAAATTTACTGAAGATATTGGTCGTCAATATTCATCTGTGCAGAGAATTATGAATAACTTCCATAAGACGTTTCTAAACCTCTTACTGTTCGCCCCTCAATTCTGTCAGTTAGAGAAAGACGTAGCATAATAAACCCGGTGAAAGTAAATCCAAGAGTAACATCAATAATGATGGTAAAGAGTTTGGCCAAAAAATCCAAATTCCTTCTTGTTTCTGATTCAGATTTTTTTTTTATTATATTTGAACAAATGTAGAGTTTAAATTAACAACAACTAGTCATATTGGCTAATAAGAGGTTTCTTAATATTCTGATTCAGATAACAACCAAATAATGGAAATAGTTCCATTAATTTAATGGAACTAGTTTAATATAAAACCTACAACTTGTGAACAATCAGGGCACTGTAACGCACCCATATCGCCTATGGATGATCTCTTAAATATTATATATTTAAAGAAAAATAAATCTGTGATTCTCTTGTTTCCAAGAGAATGAGTAGACTCACTGGACAATAGTGTTATGAATATAATGAATATACATATGTAATCTGTGGTTATTTGTTAACTTTTGCAACTCGTTTAACGTTTTCGGAATGACCGCTTATGTGATTTGAACCAAAATCTATCCAGAATAGAGCAAACCTTAACAATTCCAAACAAAGTTTGTTAGAAAAATTGATAACTCTTAATATGGAAAGAAAAAAAGTCAGTTGTATCACAAAGGAATATTGTGACGACCACAGACGTTTTTGAAAGGTGATTGCGGACCTGATAAAAAATTATCTTTACAAAAAAATAAGGTTCGGGAGCAAGTTTGATAGGATATGTGAATCGTGATTAATTTTACGAATAAATTAATATAAACATTTCTTCTTAGATAAACATCATTTCTTATGTTTTTTTTTAAAATATTTTTTTCCATTAACAAAATTTAATTTTAATATTAAATTTGCTATAGACACTATGCTTCCGTATATAGGTAGCCAATTTTTGAGAAAGGGTTCCTACCGTATACAATCACGAAAGTGTGGATGTAGAAAATTGTTATATCGGTGGCATACTATATGAGGCATTATGAAAGAAATACACGATAGAAGGGAATACAAAACTATTAACATAAAATATGTGCTCCTATCTCGAACAGCGTAGTTCTTTTTAAGAAATAAATTGAAAAAATCAATCAATGATTGAAAGTAGAACTTTCAAATACCGGTCTCGAAATCTTAAGAAGAAAGCTAGTGCAGTTAGACAAGTTGATAAACTGTCGACAGATATAACCCTCAAGAACATGTTAAAAAAAAAACTTCTTGTCTTCTTCGTAGTCTATTAACGATGGCAGCCGGCATAGAACATAAATATTTGTTTTTATAATGTCGTTGAAAAAGTAATATGGTGGAAACATATTAATAAAACATAAAATCACATATATAAAAATTATATGATATTTTTACAACATGCCTTATAGACTTCTCTGGTTCTCGCATAGAGCTAACTCAGAGTTCTCTTGTATGAGATTACTACTCTATAGGATTTTGGGATGATAGAATTTAATATTTTATATTATACATTATATTATGCATAAATGTAACCATGCAGTTGGTGGTGAATTATTTGGCACATATAAACTATTTAGAACTTAATTAGGAAACGTTGCTAGACTCCATTGAATATTCCATCCACAAGCATAGTTCAGTCCACCAATTATTAAGATTACCAACGTCCTACTATTTTCTATATATGTTTCATTAAAGCATTTACATATATTCGTTTGGAAATATCCGCTTTACTTGATGTGCTGACACATGTTCATCACCGTTCAAGTATCGTTCGGGTGTGATTTCCTTCAGTGTAGTTAACTTGTTGGCAATCTTCGGGTTGATCTCTTTATATAAATCTCTAAATCTCTTTTGAAACATGTGGCAGATTTATAGATTTATTTAGATCTATCTGTATGTCATCCAAGACGGTGCTATTGTTAATATTTTGAAATACGTAATTGCCTTAAATAGCGTCAGTAATATGATTAGTTACTAATGTACTAATGATTAGTTACTAATGTCAGTTAGGGCTACGCTTGACAAACCTTCGACCTTTGAAGGAGCGTTTATTTGTTCCATAGCATCCCGAAAATTGCAACGCTTTAAATTTTTCTTCTTGGAGAGTTTTTCATTATTTTAATAATATTTAAAATTTTTTTAATTGTTTTATTAATGTTTGCAGTTTGCTCTGTACCACAAAAATGCATACTATCATATTCATTTTTTGGATCTTATCATAGAATGAACTAACTTTAGAAAACTTTGATGTGTATGTTCTATGTCTACTCTAAATAAAACCAAGTCCCCAATTTTAAACTGCTTTTCTTCTTAACCATTTTCGTCCTCAAAAATATGAAATTTTGAAAACTGTAGTACATAAGATGTAACTTTTTTTTTCAATGTTTCCAAAGTGCCTATGCTACTACAATTGTATAGATATAAGGGCTTAAGTTCATCATTTCATTTCTGTGGATGATCTCTTAAATATTATATTTTAAATTAATAACAGTTATAGTTTTTCTTCTATATTCAAATTTAAAAATTTGCACCACTAAAATTTATATTATGCATGGTTGCATTTGAAATGTCCCTTAATTTCAGTCTTCGTTTCAATGAAATTAAGGCAATTTTCCTTAATTTCGTTCTAACCTTAAAACTGATTTTTGTATGGAAAAATCAACTTAATTTCTCTGAAATGAAGATGAAATTAAGATTTATAAGAAATAAAGGCGTGTCTGAAGATAACATAAATCATGTCTTGCAAAAATTGAAGTTAATTGCCATACGCGTAGCATTAAGTACTACTGAATTATTGGGATTTCTGAATTAGTGGATTTGTTGTAGTTCAAATGCTAGATTAATCTTACAAGAATTGAACACCGAACATACATATTGGATGAGAGTATTAAACTGACGCAATCAATATTGTTTATATTTTTGTTCAAATAAAAGTCCCTTCAATTAAAAGTGAAATGAACAATAGTATTTGTATCTAAGGTTTATATTCATTTTGTATCACATAAAATTTTTGGTTATTCCTCATGTGAATTAAATTGTCAAGTACTGCACCTTTGAGCGATTGTAGAAAACCATTAGCAGCAGTCATGTAGCTGGAGAAACATAGCTACAGACAGAGGAACATCGTTGAAAACATGTCTATATATATGAATCAAAGTTAAATTAATCGAGTTCCCCGAGATAATTCACATGTGAATGCATGTGAAACTTCATTTTGAAATCTTGGTTCGTAGAGAATAAATTAACCAAAGAGATATTTCAAATATTATATATTTTTTTTTTTAACACACTAACACTAAAATTACCTTTGAGGAATGCAAAATGGGCAAATTGTAGACATTGGTCCCCATATTCCAATAGAAACTTGAAACTCCATTTCAGTAATCAAGACAGATATAAGAACACAGAAGGTTTCATATTTAGATAACAAATATATCTAAGCTGAAATTGAAAACACGTGAGTGGGGAAAGAGAGGATGTTACTGCTAGAAATATTTCACACATCGTTTTACTTGATGAATTGTTTTTTTTGTATATTTTTAAATATTTTCAAATATTTTCACTTAATTTTTAGTCTATTGAAAGTTACTTTGAAACATATGCATTTTACTAATTCATTTAGAAGGATTTATATATACATATATCATTGCATAGTATGGCAACACTGGTACAACTGACGTGGAATGAGATGACGTGGCATTCAATAAGTGCCACAGATAGTTACAAGGAAAGAAAAGGACCGATTATTGTGAGTTACTGATTTAATTTGATAATAATTGTATAATTACAACCATTTAGGAATTCTTAGATACTTACTTGTATATGAAATGTTCTTCTGGTTGGTTTATTTTAATTTTGCTCTCAATAAGGTACATACGAGAGAAATATCAAACAAAGTGATTGCTGAATTATAAATCGAGTAAACTATGTAAATGTCAAAGATATTGTATTCGTCAGAATATTCAAATCAAATTAATCTGCAAAGAATTTGACTTGTGCTCAAAAGCGTATTAACTTTTCTAGAGTCGGAAAAATTTGATTTGTTACGGTTATTGTAGTTTTTTCTTTTGAAAATAAAACTTGTTAATAGATAAGTAATTAAAAAACAAGGCGTCATATTAAAAATGTATAATTCTAATTCTAAATGTTTAACATTTTCAGCATTAAAATGGGATATCTCTATGAAATTTTAGCGTGCTTCTGCATTATATTCGTAGTCGTAAGCTATGATAGAACACCAGACATTCTAAGAATGGGAACATTTCTTATTGGATCGACTGTGTTTGTACTTATTTGGATACCTATCATGATCTTCACACCGCGGAATTATCGTAATGCATTGTAAGTTGAAGATTATCTGTATTAGTATTAGTATTAATAAAATATTATTCTTACGTATGTATAATATTATCAATAATTTTAATTAAAATAATTTAAACAATAATAATAGGAACAGTTCGACAACGGTTGCACTCCCTCATTATAAGAAGTAAGTGCAACCATATCATACTGTTGCAAATAAATACCCAAATCACGCAGTATTAGAGATAGCATCCACGTAGTATTACTTTCCAATCCACCACACATATGTTAGACCAGACGTGATAATATTTTCAGTAGGCATCCCATCAAGCTGAAAGTCAAAAAATTTTAAATAAACCTAAAAAAAATATTTTTTTTTGCATATTCTAAAGTGTGTAAATCATATTGCAGTTATGTACCTTAATATATTTATAATACTTTCAAAATAATATATACCCTGAAAGAAGAAAGATCTTAGAGGCATATTGTGCGGAAGAGTAGCTATATTAAAAGTTTTTCGCGACAAACGACACATGGGAAAAATGAAAATAAAATGATCACTACTTGAATTTCGAATTGCACATAATATTTCACTTCTGGATCAATGAAACTCGTCTTTGAACATTTTTGGCTATAAGCTAGTGTAATTGGCCAACATCAAAAAATTGTCAAAATAATCGATTCCACAATTTCAATTGGTAGAAATATCAATTCAACCTAAAAATAATAGATATAATACCAATAGCCGTCAGCTCAGCTGAACAGCATCTAAAAACAAATAATAGATACTCTAAAACAGAAGCATGAAATAATAAAAAATATAAGAAAGTCGTCATAATCAAAGAAGAAACCATAGTAAAAAAGACACTAAACTAATGGTTCTCGACCCGTTTAAATGAATTCCAGAAATTTATGGTGAATCTCTAACTATATATAAAGCAGTAATAAAAATAGTCGTAAAAATAATAGTGATGAATGTAACAAAACTTAGCACTTAGCAACATATCAAAATAATTAATTTAAGAGATATATCCTACGATTAGTAAAATTTGACAGACTCCATACCCAATGAGCCTATAAAATCGTTACCGGAAGCAGGGTAATCATTACTGTTGCACTGGAAACGACTGGACACTGAATAATTATAATAATATAATTATAATGAATAATTATAATAACGAATAATTGGTAATAAAGCTAAAAAGAAAAATAAAACGCTTATCATAAAGTTTCTTCAAACTTAATTAGGAGTAAACTCTGTTTCCATATATAACATTTTGTTAAGTAAATACTAAATACAAAGGTTTTATTAATATTATAATTATAAACTTTTTTTCAATTTTTACAAATAATTTACCTTTCTCACACACTTAGAGGACCGGCTACTTGCTGCAGAGATCTTTGTTGGCTGTTAGGCTTCACAATGGAAGTACGTGGTTTGGAGAATCTAATTACGAAAAGTGGTGCTGTAGTAGTTATGAACCAGCAAAGCGTATTAGATCTTTGTGGTAAGTTTATTTTTAAAACACTATGTGTATGTTTTATCGTTATAAATAACCTTTAAAATTGATCAATTATATTGCATTCAAATTGCAGTGTTGGCTCATTTATGGCCAGTTATTGGACAAGCCACTGTCGTTGCAAAGAGGAAAATGCTGTTTATACCCATCTTTGGTTTTGGTGCTTGGCTATGGGGTACAATGTTCACTAATCTTTCACAAATACCTGATTCGATTGAAATGGTGCAAAAGGAATCGAAAGCAATTAATGAAGGAAAGTGTAAGCTTTTGCTATTTCCAGAAGGCACACGTAATTCGGAAGAAACCCTTTTACCCTTTAAAGAAGGCGCCTTTCATATTGCAGTGCATAGTCAATGCCCTATCCAACCAGTAGTTATATCAAAATTTGAGTTTTTGGATAGCAAAACGAAAATATTCACGCCTGGACACGCTATTATTCATATCATGCCTCCAATACACACAAAGGGTTATAATATGGATGATCTTGACAGAATTATCAAACAAACAAGATATGTTATGCAGGCCGAGTTTACCAAACTCAGCCAGGAAGCCAAGGATATAAATTCCAAAGACCGATCTCACTTATTTAAATAGTTCAATGTATCAGTTAAATAGTATTAAAAATTAAGAACAACGATTACATACATATTACAACATATATAAACAATATCAACTACAAGGATTCTATTTATTTATTTAAAAAACTCTACTTTTGAATCATATATCCTTATGATAAAAACTAAGACATCTAAATTTAATATGAAAGTTGTTAAAAAGTATATTAAATTTATTAATTTATTTAGTAGATGATGTAGAAATACAAACATTGAGTAAAAGAATAAAATTACAATTTCCCTTTTTTCATATATATGCAAAATGTGGAAAATGTGGGAAACTGAATATTAATATGAAATAATATGAAAGATAACTAAGGAGCAACAATAAAATACACGTAGAGTAATGCAATAGTAACGTTACTACGTTAGTTAAGCCTTTGCCTTGGTCAACATTTGTATTGCACTTTTACTATGTTTTCAATGTTGCCATCTTTCTTATACAAGTTAACACCCGCGTCTTCCGAATCCGGCGCTGTGTCTTATTTTATTAACGGAGTAATTAAGCGATATTATTCGATCGCATGCTTGCTGCCAAACGGGACATCAACTTATTTGTCTAGGAAAGTTCCATTTGGCTTCGGTATCTCTGAACTCTACAAAAGTTTGTTCGTTCACTTTTACTTGGGCTACAAACGGAGACACACTTAGATCATTAAACAAAAATCGCTTTTTAGAAACTTTTTTTAAAACATTTAAAATTTATTACATTAAAAAAGTTCTATATTATATTAAATTTTATATTATATTAAGCCTTGAAATTATTTCAGAAAACTGACAGACTTACCAACACTGCGTTATCGAATCTCAGAATGGTTACAGCATCCTCGGGGAGGTATGCAGAGCGGTGGTCAATTATTGCTTAGTCTGATGAAGTGATAAACAATAATACAGTCAATCCATATAGAGGGGTTATGAATAAACCTTGCATTTTGCCCTTAGAAAGGTGCTGGAAGTATGTTCTATAATGAGCATGTTTTATTTTTATGCCTGATTATAATTTTAATATAAAAATATGTTCAATTCAATAATCACTATTGACTATCACTTATCACTATAAGCAGACTATGTTTTATCAAAACGTCAACAATTTTGCTTTTTTCACTTAACTTTGGCATAATATTGATATTTATATCAGAATCTCATTTGTTTTCACAATAAAGTACAAATTCAATAGAACACAATCGATTTTACCAGTTGTCGTTAATAAATCGACACAATCATGTGTGCTCACGACGAGTTAACGCAACTGGTTGCACTTTTAATCGGCTGCCGAGCGGGTTACTCGAACTTGGGAATACCCCTTATATAATTGTTTAATGGCGAGTACGTGTATTAAGTAATGGAGAACTAAGAGAACTCTTAGAACTCTTAATTTAAATAAAATTTTTATTAAAATGGAAGCTAAATTCATTAGAAATAAAAAAATAAAAATTTGTAGTTTCCGTTTAAATTACACACTGACGCGTATAATTGCATTCAACACCAAAAAGAGAATTACATTTTTTTTGACGTTCTTACGTGCCTACTGCTTAGAAGCAGATGAGACATCCAGTCACATTCTCTGTGACTGCCCAGCCTTGTTCTGGGCCAAGAGGAGGTCACTGGAAGGAGAACTGCTCTCCCCTTCTGATATTAGGAGGTCCTCAGCGGACGACATTCTGGCCGATATTCGGAAAGCGGAATGTCTTCTGTTCGGTTAGGGTCTGTTGCAGCACAAAAGATCAATCTAGTCGCAGTGCTCTGCTCCGTCGGGAGCTAGTACCCCGTTTATTCCTATCCTATCCTACCCTACGTGCCTTCCCATCGTATCCATTCGATCTCGTGGCCGAATGTTGACAATTCGTTTTTCCGGTCAGGTAAAGAACTTTATCCTAGCAATAAGAATTTAACTTCACTGAAGTTATAAAACATTCTTATTAGGAAAATTTCTAGTGCTCTAAACTTCATTCCATATAAATTAAATCTTCCCAATCGATTGTGGTTTTTCATTTACATTCAGCTAAATATAAAAAATAATTTTGAATTTGAGACTTAACTATATTTAATAAGGTCAGTATTTCTATTGTCGCTGACGATAGCTCTGATTCTTCTCTCGCTAGTTCACATACAATCTAATTTTCTTGTAATACTAAACTGGAGAAACACAAATATTTGCATTGAGCATTTTACTATCTTGTGTGATCTATGGAACTATCAGAAGCATGAAAAACTCCTTTGCAATTTGTAGTTTTACGATTTGATATCGATTACAACAGATTGAAGTTTAAGATTCTCTAAGTAAATTTATTCAGTAACATCTTGAGATATTACAACCTCAAAAGAATGTGTGACACCAATACTCTCTAATGTGTTTGGTTAAGACTAGCAACCAGAGTTTCTTTGAGTCTGTTTTCGAGGTTTCACAAACACAGATTTTATAGGCAATATGGATGAAATGGAGGAAATGAAAACTTACCATCTAGCAACAACTGAGAAGTAGTAATATAATTCTATTAAATAAAAAAAAATTATAATATATTGGCTCATTTATTGTCTTAGCTTCGAGTGCTTAATTAACTAACAATAAAATGAATTTACTATAACACGTGATTTATACCACCCATTTTTGCTTTTTCGCATAACTATGAATTTTGATAAATACCAAATGTAACACATATGGGATTTTGAATTCTGTGGTTTGGACGACATGCAAAAAGGAAACTCATTTGGTTTTTGGAAAATGTAGTTGCGTCAATAAAGTATGGAGTTCAATGAACAAATTACTTATTGTCACCATCAGAGGAACTATTATCCTCTTCATCTATTGAACAAGGGTTGTGTCTTCGTAAGATTTCCTGTAGCACAAGGCGAAACACATATGCGTCGTTTGTGGGACTTATGTGTTGGCTGTTCAATTCAGCAAGATATGATTGAAATAAATTCAATAAACATGTTTTGGGAGCAGTAGTGTTTTCACGTGGCTCGGAATTGTTTAGAGAGTTGAGAGAAGCAGCTAATGTACTTGTGGTCGGAAGCTCGTTTTCTACTTGACGTGATGGACTACAATTAATTTCACAAGTTTCTAAAGGAAGAGAATTAGTTCCAAGTGTTTTCTTCTGAAAATTAGCAGGTGCAGGTGTTGATAGCAAAATATTATTCTCTATTTGTTTCATCCAATCAATATTACTGGATTTTTCAGTTAACGTATTGTGAGCTTCAACTGTATCAGATGTAGATATACAATGATCTATTGCTTTTTCATTTGAAAATTCATCAATCTTTGTATTATTTCTTGATAAAAGTGTGCTCATCTGTTCGACTTTCTCGCTGCTACTAACACCAGATGATTTTTCCATTGATGCACTACGACATTCTCCTGTACATGGTTTTGACAAAGTGTTCTTCTGGCGTTCTTTTATTTCAGACATTTTACCAACATTGTCAACATTATCTGGTATTTCCTTTGATTTTTCCTGTAAACACGTATTTGTTTCATCATTAAATGAATCCGAATTTTTTATAGAATTAAATTTTGGGCACAAAAGGGTTAATTGATTGCCTTTAGATGTTATACTCATAGTATCTACGCTATTAGAATTTAACTGAGTTTTTTTCACGGTTTTTTTCAATACATGATGATATTCCACTGAGTCCATATGCGAATCAGGGTACATGTGTGAGAATTTATGGGAATCTTCAGAACTCTTGTCATCAGTTTCATCTTGAGTTGTTAGTAGTACCTTGCTCTCTTTAAGCAAAAGCTGTGCTTGTATGTCCTTTAATAGTACGTTACGGTTTCTGGTCAATAAGTCATCATATAGTAAATGGAACTCATCATCTGATGATGTACTATTGCGATTTGAAATGCTCATTGCAGGAACATGCGCTTTAAATGAACTATCAGATGTAAAGTGTTTTTTTCTATTATTATTGAATTTTAGGGGACAACTTACCGTTTCCCCAAAGCCAAAATAGTGATTGAGATCGTTATCGCTCTGGCTTAAATACGTTTTGTAAGGCCCTGAGTTGTAAACATTGTGGTTCAACTCACTGGCATAATTGGAATCTGATGCAATCACTTTTTTTGGTTTTTTACGTTTTCGCTTTGCTATTTCTGCTTCTGAAGTTAGACTTACATTACGTTTTCGCTTCTTTGGTGGGTGACCGAAATTGATTGAATCACTAAAGGTTTTTGATTCTAATTCACAAACCTCTCGAGCACTGCTAGAAGAACGCTTGCGTTTACGTGTTTGTTTGGTTTTGTCTTTCTCATGATCTTCCTTTAGACCTTCATTTTCTGCATTTTCTCTTTCTTTTATCTTCTCTAAAATTAGTTTTTGGCTGTCTTCAATATTATAATAAAATCCATTTGTACATTTAATATATCCGAATAACTTTCCGCCATATAAAGTTTCAGTTACTTCCTGCAAGAGAACATAGTAAGGCCTTCTGAAACGCTTTTGTAAATGGCGAGCAATTTGCTCAGCGGTAGCTGGACTTTCAATTTCCCTCAAGGCTTGTCGAATTATTATCCCATCTAAAGGCATGTTCACAAAAAACAATTTGATTGTTTTCCCTTATATTTTCAATTTAAAACACTTGTTAAGAAATAAAAAAAATTCTCTGAGCCAATATTTGGTACAACACCTACAAAAATAAAATTTAAAATGAAAACTTCAAGTTTTAAGTTTTGTAAGAAAATTTTAAGCAATATCATTGCCAACTCAAATCAATTTATTTTTATTACAATAACTTTACCATGAAGTTTTCTATTGATAGTGTATATTGTTTTCAACATGTGATATATTAGGTATGGACTTATTTACACAGACGAATTTTGCAGTTCAAATTTAATATATACAGAGACAATCAAAAAATAAAGGTATAATATATTTAGACTATTGCTATCACTATTTAGTATCTAATGTATTTAGCTATATACCCGTCACACAGATGAGTATACCAAAATCTAAATCGTCTGACTGTTTGTATTACCAACAATATACAATGAAATTATACCTAGATACTTACAATATATAATATTTATAATACTCAAATTAAAGTGATTCTTTTTAAATAGGCATTTGTAATGAAATTGTTTATTGTTAATTACATGCATCAATAATATAGATCTTTCACTAATAT